AACTATGTAAAAATATTAGAAAAATTATAAAATATAATATAGAGCTAAAAATAAATATATACTAATATAGAAAAAAAGTAAATTCTATTACAGTATATCTGGGTTACAACCACATAAGGCCAACTAATTGATAGAAGACAGTTATTATAACACAAATATAATTTCCAAATTTTGTTGTAAGTGGAATTTGAACCTTAGACCTGCCACTTGGAAAATAACAACCCAAACACTATACTAGAATCACCATCCCTCAAAAATTACAATTTTAATTATTATAAGTTTAGTAATTTATATATAAAAATTAATACTTGCAATAAGAGCAAAAATTTTTTTTTAGCTTCAGAAACATATAAAATTTTAGAAAATTTAAAAATTATTTTAATAATAAACTCTATTATTATACAATCTTTAAACTTTAATAAATTAAAAGTTTTTTAATAAAATTAAAAAAGTTTTTTAACAAAATTTATAAAATAAATTTATAAAAATATTTTTTACTTAAAAAGTATATTGCTAAAATTAATTATTAAAGTTTTATTACAAAAATTAATTTTTTAAAAAAAAATGCAGACAATTTGTATACAATACAATTTAAAGAATAAAAATAGTATAATGTTAGCAAGATGTTAAATAGTATTTTAATTTTAATGAATTTACTTTGATTATATAAGAAGTTAGTAAAATTATTTGTTTTTTTAATGTTGTTGTTAAGATATAATTTAGTTGTATTTCAATTAATTTAAGATGATAATAAAATAATGTTGTTTATATAGTATTGTGATAACTATATAACAATTATATATGTATTACAAATATTATTAATAGCTCATTTAATAGATTGTTCAATTGTGTATTTTCTATATTTTAAAGTATATAAAATATTATATAAATTGTTATATATTAGATTAAGAAATGCAGTAGAGTTATGATTTGTTGCTAGCTTATTAGCTTTGTTATTAAATATATTGTTGCTATATGCAGATACTTTGTAAAAGATAACTGTATATTAATATGATTAAATTAAGTTAAATAATAAGTGTCAAATAGGCTAATATAAATAAAAGTATTACTTATATATTAGAATTAGATTATTAATAATTTTATTAAATGTTGTAATAATTGATTAAGAGTTTGTATAAATTTGTATATTGCTATTGTATAGGCATATGCAAATAACAAATAATATTATTATAAGTTCTGCTTTGTAAAATAGTAATTAAAGTTTAATATGAAAAAAGTAAAGTTGCAATATTGTGTTATTATAGATTTGTTTTAACCAATATTCATAGAGCATCTGCTAGTAGTAAAATTAGTAACTAATTTATTTGTATAGAATATAAAATTTGTGTATCTTTTATTAAGACTAGCAATTTCTTGAAATTTGATAGAAGAGAAATTAATTTGAAATAGGTTAAATATAGATGTGTTAATAAATGTAATAGTAGATAGTAATAGAATTGTTAGAGGTAACTGTAGAGCAATAAAATGGATAAAATTTAAATAGTTTGCATGTAATTTGAATTCATTTTATTGTTATATTTTTTTTGTCTTAGAAATTTTGTTACAGAGTTAGCTAGAATATTAAAAATACAGTAGTTTTAAATTCTATTTGAGTTATATATGCATCTTATGCATTATATATAGTTAATAGTTGAAAGAAAATAAAGGCTAGTATAAAAGAAGTTATATTTTGTCAGCTAATATGTAATTAAACCAGTATTATTATTAGTATTGTATTTATATACTTTGCTAATAATTATTTCTTAATAATTGTAATTAAAAATAATCAGTCATAGTTTAGATTTAGAACTATAATGGTCTATTGTAAATAACAAAAAATTAGAGGTAAGAAGGTTTAATGTTAGGTTTATTTTTCTGATATAGTTATCTGTAATAATTTTGTTTTTTAATATAGTAAATTATTTAGATTTTTATTTAGTAGAAATTTGGTTAAGTTTAGATAAAATATATGTTTAATTTAGAAATATAGCATTAGCAAAAATTATAGACTAATATATATTAATTATTATTTATGCAAATATATATCAATAATAATTCCTCTGCTAAGTTATATCAATTGTGATAAAGATTAATATATAGTTTTTATAACAGAAAATTGCTATTAATCAATTATATAAAAAACTCTGATTTATATCAATAAGTATCAAATAAATTTTATACTATAATTTAATGTCATATATATAATATTTTTTAAAAAAATAATTACAAAGATTTATAAAAAGTTGGACTACTTAAATGCAATTCAAACTTTGATATAGTATCTTAATTACTTGAAGGTTTCTCTTATATAGAAAGTATTCAGCTCAAACTTTATACTACAAGTAAATATAATTTTTAGAGTATCCAGTTTCTAAAAAATAAATATAACTTATAATAAATATAAAAATATTGTAATAAATAATAATTATAGAATAAAGTTTTATTCAGTTAACAGGTTTTTTTTTTTATTTTTTTTATAAATTAGTTTTATTTTATTTATTTTATTTTATTTATTTTATTTTATTTATTTTATTTTATTTTATTTATTTTATTTTATTTTATTTTTATTTTATTTTTTTTTATTTTTTGACAGTTTTGTCAAAGCTCAAATACAAAAATTTTACTAATTAAAACATTATCTATTTCTAGTAATTCATCTTTTGCAATTGCAAACCTAGCATTATCCAAGTACAGAAACTGCATCCAAATGTGATTTGCTATACCAATCTATATCTAAATTGAAAGACTTTGTTAGCTTTGTCAAGACTGAACCAGAACAGATTGATTCTGTTCTGTATTATCTTATTAACATCTTTATTAAACAATTGCATACATTCTACTTCTCTTTTTTTTTTACCTATATTGATTTTATTTGGTATACCTTTATTGTCTTCTTTTTTACTTTTAATTTTCTTTATACTATTATTTTTACTTTCATTTTTCTTTACTCTGCACTGCTTTGCTCTTAATGTTATTTCATTTTCATTTTTCTATTTAGTTACTGTTTTATATCTTTTCTATTATATTTTTTCTCTAAATATTTCTTCTACAACTTTGTCTTATAGAATCTTTTATACTTTTTTATAAAACTTGTCTTGCATACAATTTTTTGAACATACTCTTTATTAATAGACTATGTATGCATAACTCTTAATTTTTAATCTTCTTTATAACAGTTTTACTAACCAATATTTTGCTTAAATTGTGTTTTGTTATTTTATTTTTATTTGATTTATTAAGCTTTTTTCACACTAACCAACATGCTAATTCTTTAATGTTATTCTAATATTTACTATACTCTTTATATATAAGCAAATAAACTGATGTTTCTTGCTCTGCATAATACTTTTTGCATTTATCTAATTTGTATAAGTCTGGTACTATCTTTTTTAGTATATCAAGAACTGGTAAACTATTACTTATATACTTAATTCTAAATGAAATCTTCTTGCTCTTATCTAATTATTTATACTTGATTCTTATTAAGTTTTTGTTTTTTTTTTACAGTATTTTTTAATTCCTTTGTGCTTCAAGATTTGACTTAAGCTCTCTAATTATATTTGAGCTTTGCCACTTTGCATCTTTTATCATATTCATTAATGTCTTAACAAAATTACTTATAAGTACTTCTATAACTGATTCTTTTCAATATAATGCATATAAGAACTGACAATTCTTTTTAAGCTTTAAATCTGAACCTTTATTTAGCAATGTACTCTCTTTTGTGAGTTTGTTAATTCTTTTATTTTACATTATTCTACTATAAGCTTTAACCTTGATCAATACTAACTTAATATTCTTTGTCTTGCACATATTTTTGATTTTTATTACTAATCTAAAATTTTTGCTTTTGTTCTATGCTCTAATATTGTACAAAGGTTTCTTTCTTTCTAGATTTGCAATGACTGCAACATTATCTAACTTAATTACTACTCTACTATTAGAAGCTATGACTAAAATTACTATCAACACTGCAGTTAGCTCTGCTTTTATTGATTTTTTTTATTTTTATTTTTTAATTTTATTTTACTTTCTATTTTTATTTCTCTTATACTTAATTTTAAAATTTTTTTTTTGTTTTTTCTTTTTTACAAAAAAATATTTCCAAATTAATAATATCTTATTGTAGAACAAAGTTAAACAAGTCATAATTCTAATTCTAACTGGATTAATGCAACAGATTATATTTAGGTACTGTTGAAATGACCAGACCAATGACCAGCTTGGTTAGTATCTTTAATATTGGTCAAATGGTTTGAACAGACCAATTTGACTATAATCAAATTTGCTTGATTGGTCTAATGACCAGAAACCCTTTGACCAATGACCAGTAAATTTATAGTTGACCAACACTGATTATTATACATACGTACGTACGTAATTTTTCACATGCATGAATAATAATGATGTAATATGTAACTGCTTTAAGATTAAACAGTTTCTAGCTTTAGCGTGAGGGTCAATAGTGTATTCCAGATTATAGCTTGTATAGATATGTAATGAAAAGTCGCCACTTGCCCATCGGTATTGGAAAACAGACATTCTAATCATGTGATCCTTTTTGTACGTACATACGTAGTCATGTTTTGAAAGAGTATCGGGTATCATTTACAACAATTTCATTGGTGAGAAAGGGAAGAAGGATACTCACTGTGTGTAAATATTAACGATGATAAATCTGGCATGCATTAAGGGTGTCTTCCTGAATAGTTTTTTTCTAACTGGTTTGATATTGTCTAGATTTTTTGTGACACAGCATATAAATCAATAAAGTGTCTGCAGAGTTGACCATAAATCTATAAACTACTTCACCTATCTCCTTCGTTATTATTATTTTTTTTTCATCTCAATTACCTAACTGATCCTGTCATAAACTATGAGCGAATCACGGACTGAACTACTCGCGTGGCTAAATGACTTGCTACAAATTAACTATACAAAAGTTGAGCAATGTGGAACGGGTAAGAAAAGCGATTCGCGTTTACGTCGTGTTTTGTGAAGGGACTTTTTTCACAGCTTTAGAAATTTTTACACCTAGGCTGGCTTTAAACATTTTTAACATTTTAATATTTTTTATGACAGGTGCTGCCTACTCTCAAATTATTGACTCTGTATATGGTAAAGTTCTTCTTGGATCTCGAGGCTTTTATTATTCAATTGATTTAACTCGATTTACAATTATATAGGCGATGTACAGATGAACAAAGTCAAGTTCGGAGCAAAACATGAATACGAATACGTTGCTAACTACAAAGTGTTGCAAACAGCTTTTGACAAGCACAAAGTTGATAAGGTATATATAATTTTATCATTTGTCGATCAAAAAAAAATGGGCAGAAGATTTGAAAAATTAGGATTAATGCCTTTGTTCATATTATGTTATCATGGCACTCCATTTTAGACTATTCCAGTTGAGCGTCTTGTCAAATGCAAATTTCAAGATAATCTTGAATTTTTGCAATGGATGAAGAGGTATTGGGATACCTACTATCCCGGTGGACCTTATGATGCTGTTGCAAGACGTAGTACTGTTGCCGGACCTGTGAAAGCGGTTTCTGGTGGTGGCATCGTCCGAACAATGCCAAAAAGAACAACGCCCACTGCTTCAGCCGGTAGTAGGCTATTCTAGTTTCATGTTGCAGAACCTTATATTGATTCGTTACTGATTTGGGTTTATTCCCTTTTTTGTCACATCTTACTGATTCAATTTACAAAGGTCGTGTTCCAGCCTCAAGCTTACATGACAACAGCCAAACTTCTTCAATTGTGAATGAATTGAGTAAGGAAAATCTAGAACTTAAACAAACTATAGATGGCCTCGAAAAAGAACGTGATTTTTATTTCGGTAAACTTCGTGACATCGAAATCTTGGTCCAACAGCGAATCGATAGTGAACCTGACAATCAATTATTGAAGGATATTCAATCTATTCTTTACAGTACAGAGGTACGCTGACGGTTGATACTACTATAAGCTCAAACTTTTTTTACGCAAATTATTGAATAAGCATTTTTCCAAAATTTCAGGATGGCTTTGAAGTTCCTCCCGAAGGCGCCGTACAAGAAACAGAATACGATGACGAAACCTTTTAATATTTCCTTTATTGTTTAAATAATAGATATCGATTTGTTCTCAATTCATTTTTACAAGAGATGTTAAGTTTCTTTCAAGACTCGTAATATATACTATAACTTTGTAGGTTTAAGATGAAACATAGGTGAACTGAAATTTCTCTTTTTAAAAATTATTTTTGTAGTGAAAATATTTATTTTTGTTATTTTATGATAATGAGTATTCTATTGTTACTTCAATCTGGCTAGACACAAAATGGTGTTGTGTTATATCAATATTCTATTTACCTTGGTTAAATTGTAGAAATTCACAATTCGTATGAAAAAAATTAGAATGATTAAATCTAATTTGATACCCGATTTTATATGTTAATTTCCTACCTACAGTATATGATTATTCGCTTTGATTCAGTGGTTATTATAGGATCTCCATTTGATTTTTACTATATTTAATTTGTTTGGATTAATTAGGACCAAATTAGGAATAATTGAAATCTTGTATAGAACTTAAACATTCATGTTTTTGCTTACTATTTACTTATATAACATTTTACATGAATTATTAAAATTCATACATATTTCGAATTTATTTGCAGTTTTTAAAATTCTGTGATCCTCAATTTTTTACATATCGCCAATTATTAGGCAGGAGAACTTTAATGTGATAGACTGATAGGCATATTAATAATAATCTGCGACATGAATAACAATCATAATTTTGGACGAACTATTAAAATCAAATTTTTTTACGTACTAAAAGTAACTCTCGTTGCCGAAATCATATAGTAATCGTTGAAATATAAGTGATCTCTTTAATACTGCGAGTACGTAGGACCTCGCACAATACTAAAAAAGGTTATGTGTGAAAAGTACGTGTTTAAATTAGTCAACATTTTAAAAAAATTGCAAATCTGATTGGTTAACAACTTTAACCAATAAACCCTAAGAAAATGGATAATGCAGCAAAGAACCTCTATTAGGGTCCTCTGTAAGTCAAACGGTTTGTTCATTGATCCTTTTATTATATTATTTATTACGTGACGTGATAAATAAAATAATAAAAGGATGTGACAATCGTCAATGACAACACTGTAATACATAACGATAGAAGAAATTTATGATTGGTTAATTATTGTTACTGTATTGGTATGTAGATTAATGTTAGGACTTAAAATTTTATCGTTATAACTTGTAATTAATTGGACCGAGAACTTATAACGATAATTATTGGGTCATGACCGGGCTCTATAAATAGGCTCGGTAAAGCCCGATAATATTCGTATTATAGTAAACATACAAATATGGGATCTTTGCCTTGAAAATCACTACCGATCATTTTGAACGGGATAATTTGGACACAAATACCGATGTAAATCATCTTTATTGATTTAATAGTTTATTCAATGTACAGTAAGGTAACAGATTATTGTGAACACATTTTAAAAATTTGTATTGAATCAAATATGCAAGATATTAAACTAAAGATTTTAAAATAAATTTATTAATCTATATATTTTAAATAAAAATAAATAAAAAACTTATATACAATTGTTTTTGATTTAAATAAATTTTAAGTTTTATATTTCTAAGATTTTTAATATATTTTTTTTAATTTTGTTTTTATTGAAATAGATTTTGTAATAAAATTATAAATATATACGTATATAATTAGTTTAATACTGTAAAAACTTATTCAACTTAGTAGTTTATATATAACTTGTTATATTAATTATTTAATTTAACATTAGGTTTTTAACTTATTAGAATTATTTTATATTATAGTTAGTAGTTAATAATTTTGTTAAGATCTTACTTATAATAGAACATTGCTAATTTGATAATATTATTTTATAGTAAAATAAAAAAAAGTTTATAAATACTAATTTAAAAAAGTCTAAAAAAAAACCTATATTATAAATTTAAAAAAAGCTATTGTTAAAAACTAATTAAATAAATCTTTTTATTTATAAGTAGGAAATTTGCGGGCAAGGCCGGGTTTGGGCCCAATTTGGGCACAAATTTTTGGGTTTAATATTATTTGGGCTGGGTTGGGCCAGGTTCGCTAAAATACCGGATCAGGTTTGGGCCTAATAAAACAGTCCATACAGGCCCAATAATATTTGGTGATTTCCTAGCTGCAATTAAGGTGCATAATGGGCTATGCTAAGCTTAGAAATTTATGATTGGGTCAGGCTTGGGCTTTCTAATTAGGCTCAACAATATCTGGTAAACTTATAAAGTCTTTGTCTTAAAAATAACCTTATAGAACATAGTAATTATTATATCTTATAAGGTCATTTTTAAGGCAAAGATTTTTTATAATCAAACTTATGCTGATTTATGATTTCAGTATAATATATTTAATAAAAATCAATATATATATATATTGTGCTTCAAACTAATGCTTGCCTCAGACAGCTAATACATCTTAAATATAGATTATCAAATAAGATGCATAATATTATCTAAGTTATAATTTAATAAAAGAGTAATAAATTGAATATAATCTTTTACTGAAACTCTTATTCTTAGTTTTTTGAATCTTTTTGTCATTTCTTACTAGTAGTATTCTTTATTTAAATCATTTTGATGTCTTTTTTAACTTTAATAAACATGAATGTTATTTATTAATTAATATTTTATTTGTTAATTGATTGTTATTCAAGTTAAAAATTTTCTAATATTATTAAATCATTTAGCTTAAAATTTTTAATAATACAAAAGATAGTAATTCTAGTATAGTAGTTAGCTTGTCATTCTTTAAGCAGTAAGTTCAAAGTTTAAATTCTACTAGTTGAAAAATTTAAAAAATGTTCTTATTCTAGCAACTTGATTAGAGTATCTAAGGTTGTAACTCTGTAATTCTAATTGCATTAAGACTAATTTTAGAAGTGTATAATATCATATAAATAAATTTAGAAAGTATATACTTTATAAGAAATTCTGTTTGGAAATTCTAAGTAAAAAAGTAATATGATCTTTTATAAAATTACTTATAAAAATCTTGATCCAAAAATGAAAATCTGAAGCAGATAATCTGTATAAGCAAGAATTCTAAATAAAGAAGTCCACTAATTTAGTTATCAGTTGAACTGAATATAAAGTCACATTATGCAAAGCTAACTAAATTAGTAATATAAAAAAACTTACAAGAATATATAAGATATTAATAAGGTTGTAAAAAAAAGTATTATAGTTGTATAAACTTTACAAAGTATATATAGCAATTTAAGAATTATCTTAACTACAAGTATTGGTTTCAACTATAGCAATACCAGGTTAGCTAAAAATTAGATAACAGAAGACTCTGATGGGTTTTGTATAAAGTTTTTTCATATAAGTAAACTACTTTAAAAACCTAGTAATTATAATATATTTGCATTAATAAAGCTGATGCAATTGGTAGAATAGGTAAATAAGTGAATATAAGAACTAGAATATAAGAACCAGAGTATTTAAATAAAGAACTTATAAGTAGGTTTTAAATATAGCAGTTAGTGTAAAACCTTTAAGTAAATTATTTAAATTAAATAATGAATAAAGTTGTATAAATAATTAGTTGTATATTCTTTTTATAGTTGTCTTTTGTGATTATTATAATATAATTATAAAGCTAAAACATACTATTATTAAAAGTTCAGATTGTAAATATTTATCTTTAATATTAAAAAAAAATTTAATAATACAAAAATTGTATAATTTTATAAGTTAGTCTAAACCAATTTTGTTTTAAACAAGATCTGGCTTAATTTATTTTATATTTTTTTTGAACTAAATTTGAGGTTATAAATAAATTTTAGACTAAGTTTTAGATTTAAGCAAGCCTAATCTAATTTAGCTTATTCTACATTTTATCTATAAGTTATTATCAATTTTTTTTATTCTTTAGTTAATAATACTAAAAAATTAAACTATAAAAATAATATAAGATATTTTTAATTTAAATAAATTATTTTAATATTTGTATATTTTATTTTATTTTTAAATAGATATATACTAATATTGCAAATAAAACTAATTAATTTTACTAGTTGAAACTAATAAACTTGTTGTATTATAATGCAAATTAATAGCTAAATTAGTAAAACTGATAAAACTAATAAATACTAATAATAATAAAATTAATAAAACTTTTTTTTTATCTTAAACAGTTATATTAGTACTTATTAGAAATTTTGAAACTATACAAATTATATAGAATTTTTCTAATATTTAAGTTTAAAATTACTTAGCCATCTTATTAGTACCTAAATGCAACTTGTCACATTATTCTAAACAGTAGTAGATTGCTTATCTAATTATTACTTTACAATAAAATACTATTAATTTGATGACATTTTCTTATAGAAGACAAAAAAAACAAAAAAATATTATATATATAAAAAAAAATACAGAGATATAAAAATAAATTATACAAAAATGGTAAAATACAACTCTTCTTGTCGATCACTCGGACACAAAAAATCGCTAAAGAAAAAAGTAGATTTTAGCAAAAACAGCAATAGAAAACACCTCAAATAGCTTTAAGCAGAAAGAAGCAGCAACAAAAAAAGCAATAAACTAACAGAAAAAAGTCTATTTGCAAAGAATAATAGCATAGTTATTAAAGAAAAGCAAAAAACTCACTTGGAAATAATAGTAGTAGAGAATTGCCATTAGACCCTGTAACGTAGATCTGTTTACATTACACAAAACACGTAATAGCAAAACAACAACAGACATGTGCAAGCT